AAATCACAGGTTTTGTAAACAAATTTCCGGATTAAAATCTGATAAAAATCTGATTAAAAATCCGGAAACTTTGGGACACGATATCTCGCGAACCACGGAACCAATCCGGACGAAAATATCACCATTCGATTCATCTAGTCTTGGCGAATCGAATAGTGGTATTTTCGTCTGGATTGGTTCTGTGGTTCGCGAGATATCGCGTCCCAAAGTTACTGGATATTTTTTTTATTTTTTTCATTTTTAAGCAGTTTTTTATCAGATTTTAATCCAGAAATTTGTTAACAAAATCCATGATTTTCCGGAACTAAAAAACCTGATTTTTTCCTGATTTTTGTTTTTTATTTTTTTTACAGGCGTATATGAGCTCAGAAATACTAAATGGAGATCTATATACTAAATCTGCAGATATTTATAGCTTTAGAATGATTATATATGATATTATAATGAGTGAATAACTATTTGGTGCATGAAGTTATGATATATATTTCATATTAAATATCTTTAACAAAGTATAATCTATAATACCAAATAATGTTTCCAGATGATACAAATTATTATTGAAAAATGTTGGAATTCTATTTCAGAAAACAGATCAACTGAGTGAGATTTTTATAACTTTATCTTCTCTATCTACGTAATCTACTATATCAATGAGAATTTTCAGTACTATGATTCTTTAGAATCTCTCATGACATGTGAAGAAATTATTGAATATCTTAAACTAGAAACACAGAAATTATATGAACCTGATAAGGTGATAAAATTAAAAAAGAGCATTTCTAAATATGAACAAAAAACAAATTCATTTTAATACAGTTTATATTATTCAAGTCTTTATTACAAAATTAATTTCAATTTCAACTGAGACAGGTACTTTTATTTTGAAATATAAATCATATTAACATTTCACAGTATTAATATTCATGTCAAATATAGAAATGTTAAGATTTCAAACAAAGGTAAATTACATTTTTATTTTTTCATTAATTTCTTTTATTCATTATTTTTTCTTTGTGGGCAGATTTTAGTATATTACATGAAAATAAAGAGAATGAAAAGATATCAATTAACTTGCAAGAAAAATTACAGACTTATAATGAAATACTTTCAACAAAGTAAAACAATATTGATATATAGTAATCTCTCAGAATAGTGTGAACACATTTTAAAATAAAATAATGCAAAAACCAATAAAAAAGCAAGATTTATGATTCTAAGCTAATAGAATCATTGAAATATATTGTACATTATATCAAAATTTCAAGTAATTTCAATAACTAGTTCAATATATATATATATAATACAATTTAGTATTAAACCAAAATTTATGTGAAAAAATATTTATTTTATAAAGATACAAATAACTTCACATCTAGTAAACCAAATTAAATAAAACTTTATCAGCAGATTCTTCAAATTAAGATGCATCTAGTGATATTAAATTATTTAATTTGAATTACTAGATATGGAGATATCATGTCTCAAAGATAATATACAAAATCAGGATAAATTTTTTGAAGAAAATAGTTTTTTGTGAATATCTCTGCATCCAATTAACCAAATTAGATGATTTCAATATTATTAGGTTTGCCTTGTTTAAGTGAATCTAGTGATATTAAAATCATCCAATTGGTCCACTGAATGCAGAGATATTTGCAAAAATTGTTTTCTTTAAAAATTTTCTTCAAAATATTTTTTTACCCCAATTTTTGTATGGTATTTTTGAGACATTATATCTTTGTATCTAGTGATCCAAATTATATGAGTTTGATATTATTAGATGCACCTTGACTTGGTGAATCTGGTGATATAAAATTATTTAATTTGGTTTACTGGGTATGAAGATATTTGCATTTTTATAAAAAAGAATATTTTTTTCACATAAATTTTCAGTTTGATACTAAATTTTATTTATATATATTTTTTGAACTAGTTATCGAAATCACTTGAAATTTTGATATAATGTACAATATGTTTCAATGATTCTATTAGCTTAGAATCATAAATCTTGCTTTTTTTATTGGTTTTTGCATTATTTTATTTTAAAATGTGTTCACACTATTCTGGGAGGCCACTGTACTTTAGACTTATTAAATTAAGTTGACAACAATATTAAAGCACAACAACCAAAAGCAGTTTATTTATATAGAAGTTATTTTACTTAGGATCTTTTATACTATAGTTTATTCGTTTAATTGCTATGTTTATTACTATAACAACACATTATACTAGAAATTTTGAGTTTATATTAAAGAAAAATTCGATATATATATCGATGTGTACATGCCAGACGCATTACACCTACAACATGCATTTGAAAGAAGAGCCTTTTATAATTTACACATAAATAGAATTTATAAAAGTTTCCTTTATCGTTATCCGTTCTGTCTTATTTTTCTTGCATAACAATGTCGATATCGATTTTCCACACAACAACGATGAATGGCTCGTCTTTTCAAATTTGTTCTTATGCACATGTCTGAATTATTGGTCCACAATGCGTTCCTGCGTTATTTTGCAAACACAGACGGAAGAATAACAACACGTATAAATCATAGTTTACCATCATTCAAAGTTTTAATTAAAACGCTGAACTTAAAGATAGATTCTAATACTCATGGTTATAATGAATTACTGCAAAGAGTGTACCAGATGTCAAAAAATTACAATTGCTATCGCTACGAATGTAAATGAATATCACAAAGTTGAATCGTCTAGCGAGAATAAAGTTATCACCTGTCTAATAAAAGAATGCGCAGAATTGCTGATAAACACTAAAATTTATAACGATAAGGCATTATTGTACGGTTACAAGAGAGATCATGAAGAAAACAAATTTATACCGATACGATCCGGAGACGATAAAGAAATTGTGTTGAAATCATTGCAAATCACATGGGAGTTTATAAATGAGTTAAAATGAACCATTTCTAAAGTGTAAAAAGTTGCTTTTTTGTTTTCTAATATAATCAAGCTTTCAGACTGCTTCTTTATATTAGTCCGGCGATTTTTATAGTTTGGTTACGATATTGAACAGACAGACCATTCGGCGAACGTAGTCATGATATATATATATATCCAGCATTAGACATCTATAAAGGAATACGACCTAAGATACCAAATAATGTTCCCGGATGGTACCAATTTATTATTGAAAACAGACCAATTGCTAAGGAACTTGAAGACTTTATTGACTCTATCGTAAATTTCAATATCGACTTGAATAATAGTGATTCGGACTAAATTATTTAGCCCAAGCCCAAATTATTTTATTTTTAAATTTTATTATAGATTCTAGTAGTCCTAAATTAGTTTAACTTATTTAATAATTTAGCCTTTTAATTTAGCCTTTTAAGTCCTAAATTCCTAAATTGTCCTAAACTATTTAGTCCGAATCACTAACTTGAATACGTATTTGAATATCGTTATCATCTATCGTTATGCTAAATTCGAGTAACATACTGTTACAGCCGATGGACAAATTTCCTCGGTTACGGTTCTTCGGGGAGAAATGGCAGAAAACGAGCCGTGGATGTCGATAACGCTGGGTCGATGTTAGTACAGCGTTGCTAATTTCCAAAACCGGTAGAACTCACAGCAACAATTATCAACAATGTCGCAAATTTCCCAATCCGGTAAGCTCTTCAGCAGCTAATTCCCATCACGGTTATCAACAAATACTGCTGTTTGTTCAGCAGATTTCGTCACAAATATCAACAAATGCGGTTTGTGATTTTTCAGCATGACAACATGCTAATAAAAACAAGAAACTCTCTTTTTAGTATGCGACACAGAATTGAGCCACTCCTCGCGTTCTTTTTGCAGTATCTCCTCGTTGTTTTTCAGCATCTCCTCATCATTCAGCATTTCTGCATCGTTTTCAGCATCTCCTTATCAATCTTCGGCATGATTTCATTAGTTTTCGATTCATTTAGCATCAGTTTCTTACACAGATGATAGAGCATCCATTATAAACGTTTTTATTAATATTAAAAATAATACTTTCTTTTCCTTAATAGTAATAAATATAACAATACAAAAATAATATCACACAAAGAAAAATGTATAAAAGAATGGCCCATGGGCTACTAATAAAAACAGAATTAATATTGCGAACAATTGTTCTCCAAGTAAGCCACTTGTAAAAATAGAATTGAAATTGTGTATAATTCTTCTCCAAGCAAATTAAACTTGAATTCTTGCGTACAATTATTCTCCCCTTAAGTAAAATATTGCTTGTAAAACTCTTCTCCCTTTCCCCACATTAATCGTGATATCGTATTACTTGTTGGTTAGGTCCTTTGTATCAGAAAAGGCATTGTTTTATATAGAATCGCATTGTTAATGAAAAACCGTTTTTGTGATCACTGTTATCGTTATTATTTTTAAGAGTTTAAGGCTTTTATCTATAAAAAGCAATAGTAAAAGAACCCCCAAACACTCACCTGAAACGCTTAATCTTCTTCCCCGCCTCAAAATTAACGTAATCAACGATATCCGTAGATATCGGCACGGGCTCTAGATACTAAATAAACATCACTCCGACTAATAATCTCTCCCAAAGTCTTGTTGCGTTAGAAATCCCTCAAATCGCCCCCACTTTAATATAACAACAACAATACAACATGATTTATATCCCATGACCATTAATTCCCTTCATAAATTATGTATTACGTCCAAAATCACTACCCCCATTTGCTTACTAATTTTTTTTATCTTTCATTAAGATCTATTAAAGAGGATGCTAAACGTAAGTAACATTTAATTATATATTTAATACTAAAATTTAACAAGCATCCGGGGATTATCAAAATTTGATTGCATAACAATAACGATAAATAATCTGTTTACATTTTATATACAATTTGTTTTTTGTGTTTCTTTCTTTTCACTGTATTCCTCTATTGTACTGCTTGCGCTTCAGTATGGGAAAGAGATTTTCTTTCGTTCCTGTCATTTTCTCGCATTGCTTGACTCTTCTTTTCTCGTATCTTGCCGCGTTTTATTTGCGACATGTTTAGCGAGAGAATGAGTTTGATTACGTAGCCTTTGACAGCATGCTAACGCAAACCAATAAGAATGCGCAAATCTTTAATCAACCCGGCAAAACAAATTCAACACAAGAAAATAAAAAAGGTGAAAATGTGAAAAATTGTAAAATAGGGAAAACAGATTCGAAATCTAGCTTGAAGGACTAATAAATGCATGTGAAATTAATTATATTGATACCTGAGATTTGGTCGTCCTCGAATTAGTATTTTGTATAATCCTAAAATTTCGGAACAACCAATAATCAGCATTCGCTCGTTTCTGGAAAACATTTATAGACAATATTAATGAACGTGACAAGCAGTTGTACCTGGTTGTTACAGGTGTATAGAAAACAAAGGTCACATAATGCAAGTAATTAATTCGACTAATTAAAACTGTAATAGTTCAAATGTTTTAAATGCAGACGCCGTTTATTTTTCTATTTATTTTATTCTTTATTTTTAAAGCTATGTACCGGTACGTATCGGTATTTACATGTACTTTTTATCGGATCAGGTGAAAATACATGTGATTGCGATAATGCATGTACATGTACATGTTTACGTAACGATACATGTACGTATACATGTACATATCTACAGAGTACGTACACTACGTACGTACCGAAACAACTAAATCCACCAGAATGTCTTCATCTTCCTTAGCATCATGGATAGAAAATGCAATTTCAGAAAAAAATCTCAAATATTTTGATTTTAACGCTTTTAAAGATAGAGAAGTAATTGGACGTGGACATTTTGGCAAAGTATATAAAGCAACTTTAAACGACGACTTGACGGTAGCTTTAAAAGGTCTTTATGTAAATAATAAAAACTATGAACGGAATCAAAAAGAATTCATTAAGGAGGTAAATTTATTACTTTAACTTATAATCAAACCAACAATAATAAAATTTAATAATATATCAACTTAGTTAAAAGCCCTTATTCAAGTTAATTATCACCCAAACATTATTGATTTTTATGGGATTACTGAAAGTAGGTGTTACAATTAAGATATTATCGTTATCTGTAAAATCTATGAATAAGTGTTATAAACTTCGACTCTACCCAGATCCCAGTAAGCAAAAATACATGTTGGTTTTTAATTACGCTAATGGCGGAACCCTTCGAGACTATCTGGAAAAAAATTTTACCAAGTTAAAAGGAATTGACAAGTTATCTTTAGCTCAGCAACTTGCAAAAGGGGTAAAGTGTATACACGATGAAGGCATTATTCATAGAGATTTGGTAAGAATCTTATTCATTTCTTTCGACTTTAAGTGAAGTTTAATCTTTTATTTAATTTTCTCATATCAAAGAACCATAATAATATCCTTATTCATAACGGAGAAATCAAAATCGCAGACTTGGGCTATTCAAAACTCTCAGACGATGATATCAATTCGAAAACTGATTATGGAATTATAAGCTATGTTGATCCAGCTTTTCTAAAGGATCTGGATAATTTTCGACGTGACGAGAAATCAGATATTTTCAGCATTGGAATTCTGTTGTGGGTGATTTCGAGCGGCCGTCTTCCATCTAATAAATTTGGATATGTTCATCAAAATATTATTGAGAAAGAAATGACAATATTTGGAACTCCTCCTGAATATATCGAGCTCTATCAAAATTGTTGGGATAATACACCAGCAAATCGTCCAACTATAAACAAAGTAAATCAAGATCTAAATACAATAGTTTGGTCGCCACCAGAATCTCCAGTTTTCCCACCTGAAACTTCATCTAAAGGATCATCTACTTTGAGTTCCGAAGCATGGTCATCTATAGAGCAATTATCAGGAAGTTCGAATTCATCATGTGAAGGCTCTGAAAATTTAGTATCTTATCATGAAAAACTTTCAATTTCGAAAAATGCACCTGAAATTATTGTTGATGGTTTATTAAATTTGCTAGATA